ATATATATATGTAATTCTTCAGAAAGCCTTTAAGTATGCTGTGAAGACCTGGAGATTTAGCTCACACATTATCCACTGATGCGAATACTTTTCAGAGGGTAACTCATGCTACCATCAGAAGTCTGGTTCAAAATCCCAACCTGGGATCCCGGGGATTAACGGATTATGAGAAATGGGAATCTCTCTCCATACACATCTAGTAGCTCTAGAGGATGAATGTGTGCAATGTATGGTTTTGGTTCTCTGGAGTCACTGAGGGATGACAGCGTCTAGGTGAAGGCTCCGTTAGCTTCCGTTCCTCCACTTCCAGGCCTCTGGCAGCCGGATCGTGTTCATGTTCTTGGAATAGTTGGCATGCTACTTGCAAGTCATAACATGAGCAGAACATTTTGTTCTCTGAATGTGAAGCTCTGCTTTGATCACTGATTGTTGCTTAAGGAGCTTGGAAGAATTATATGGCTTCTCCTCTAACTTCATCTTCTCTTTTTAGAAACCAGAATTAATACTTTAACATCCAATAGCAACTTGAATATAGAGAAGACTAAAAATTAACTATGTTCTGTTTACTGAGAGTTTGTCTTAATTTTTTTTTAACATAGACATTAAAAAATGGTTAGGGATGCAGCTCAATGATGAAGAATGTCGTGCTTCATTCAGCAGTAGTAATAGAAACAAATAATAGAAGCAGGAAGAACTGGAGAAAGGAAAGTATCTGTTCTGCAGAATTATATTCTGCAGAGTAAAAAATGCGACATATTTAAAAATATGAAAATATAAACGATTCTGAAGATATAGAAGGCAAAATGAGCTCCAGCTCAAATAGTTTCCCATTCTGATGTATTCACAGCTTGGTTCGCTCTGACACCAGGTATGTGCGGGGATACCCCACAAAACAAGCCATCAGGCCTGCAGCAGCAGATGCCAGCAGAGTCTTCTGATCTACACTCGATCTTAGGATACTTCTCACACTCTCTGTTGTAGACATCAGATCTCGAAGGATCAGAGCTCGTTCTCCATGAATGTCTCCTCTTGAATTAGACAACTTCGGAGGCCTCCAGGTGTTTCATGGATGCTCTGGTACATAAGCTAGAAATCAAGTTTCCTGTAAGACCCACCTCCAGTTCCATCCATTTGTTTAATTGACTCAGATCTCATGGAAAATGTCATTTAAAAGTAACAGTTCATGACTGTTTGGAGTTGTCTTGCCCTGTGCTCAGCAGTCCTCCTTGCAGGGCATGTGACAAGACTGTTCTCCAGTGCGAAGGGGCAGACGACCTGCTAACAGACAATGTAGGTCAGAGAGACTAGACAGAAATCACCAGTGAAAGCCAAAACCTATACATATAATATCACAAAGGAAAATAAATATAACTAAGAAAACAAACCTTAAAAAATAACTGATGACTAATTTACTAGAAGAATCTTTGACACAACGCTCTTTCAGATGGCCAAAGAACTAAAAGAAAGCATGGAGAGAGCCATGCAAATACTGAACAAAGT